TGTCAGTCCCAAACCCCAAAACCTCCCTCCCTCTCTGTCAGCCCCAAACCCCAAAACCTCCCTCCCTCTCTGTCAGTCCCAAACCCCAAAACCTCTCTCCCTGTCAGTCCCAAACCCCAAAATCTCTCTCTCTGTCACTCCCAAACCCCCAGGAGACAGCGAGGCCCTCGGAGCCCTGCCAGCCTGGCTGGCTCGGGGAGCAGAGCAGCATCACCCAGCAAATCCCAGGATTGCAGCAGCCGCTGCCCCGAGCTCCCTCCCTGCACCGAGGGCACCGCAGGGAGATGGGAACCCAAATGCCACCCCTGCCCTTGGCGGTCATTGTCCCTTCCTCCTGCTCCTGCCCCAGGCTGTCACCTGCTGCTGAACCAGAATCTGTCCTTATCTGATGCCCAAGGCAGCAGCAGAACAAAGGCAGGAGGAATTGTGCTTGAGCCAAGGTAAAGAACAGAACATGCTCCAAACTTCAGGATCCGGTGGCAATCCGGACCTTACCCTTTCACAAAGATCTCTCAGATTTCAGGGAATTAAAACCATTAACTCTTTGCAGCGGGGATCATTACCCAACACATGTTTCTATGACAGCCGGCACAATGGAGGGCTGGCCTGCTGGGAGCTAAACAGTGCAAGTGTTAAATAATAATTAAGCTGCCTCGAAGTTAAACAGACACCCAGCACAAAGGGGCAGTGTGCTGCACGGCCCTCCAAGTGGAAAACTGCAGGAGGAGGGCCAGGAAGTGCCTCCAGAAGATTTGGATTAGGGAGACCAAAAGAGTGGTTGGGCAGGGAGTCAAGGGTCTGGCACAACGCAGCAGGCAAAATGGGGCAGCAGGTAACACCTGGGAGCAGGTGAAGGGCTGCTGGAGCAGTGTCCTGGCCTGGGGATGTGGCAGCTACAGGCTTGTGAGCAGCTCCAAGGCACTGGAGAGGGGGCTGAGAGCTGGGAAAGCCCCTGGAGGGCTCCCAGAAGCAGCTGGGAGGTGGGAATTTCCCAGCAGCGTGGAGGGAAGGAGCAGCAAATCCCACCTCACTGCTTCGGAGCACAACACCCTGCTCTCCAAGGATGGGGAGCACCCTCACCCCTCGCTGGGAAAGGTGGGGAGAGCAGTGCCAGGAGCTCTCCAGCAGAGCCTGCAGACAGAGCCAGCTCCATCCTGCTCCCTGTGCCGCCTGCCACAGCGTTCTGCCACTCAGCAAGCCAGGGCTGCCCTGCCAGGTCCGTGCTGGCAGCAGCCAGGAGGTGTTTCCCAACCTGGTCCTTGTGCCACGCTCTGGGAGCCATGGGAAAACACTCTCCCTTGACCTACCCGCAGAAAGCCAAGTCCACTGTAGCTCTTTTTTTTTGCGTTACCAACAGAGCCGAGCCCATCCCGAGCTCCCAGGAAATATTTCTGTCCTGGGAACGGGACAGGGCGCGCTGGGCTCGCTCCTCACCTTCATCGTAGTGCCGCCTGGCCTCCGTGCCCGGCCTGGCCCTGGGCACGCCGTGGTACAGCCCTTCCCCGACGAAATCCGTGTAGAAGAGCATGAAGGTCATGAGAGCCATCCAGCTGCAGAGCTCGGCCACGAAGAGGCGGCGCACGACGCCGGGCACGCGGCAGTAGAGGCCGTGAAGGCGCGGCAGCAGCGCGCACGGCGCCCGCCGGCACCGGCACCACAGCGACGGCCTCGGCGCCGCGTCCCTCGGCGCCGGCCCCGCCGCCCCGTCCCCCCGGGCGGCCTCCTCCGCGACGAACAGCGTGGCCAGCGCACAGGCCAGGAAGATGAGGGCCAGCAGGCTGAAGAGGCAGCTCTGCTGCCCGCCCAGGTAGGGCGCCAGGAAGGCCCAGTCGATGGCCGGCAGCAGGTAGCCGACGCAGCCGCCCAGGCTGATCATGAAGGCGTACACGGAGAAGGCCTGGCGGCAGTTGTCCGGCTCCTGGAAGAGGTCGGAGAGCAGGGCCTCCAGCGGGGTGAAGCACACCTGGCCGCAGAAATCCAGCAGCCCGACGCCCACGATGAGGAAGGCGATCTCCAGAGGCCGGGGGTTGAGGGCGCACAGGCCGGCCAGGCTGCCGGCGTGCGGGATGACGAACAGGCTGAGCAGCACCCCCAGGCACAGCAGCCAGATGAAAGGTCTCCTGCGGCCGTAGCTGCCGCGCCAGTGGTCGCTGGCCGAGCCGATCAGAGGCACAAAAAGCAGCCCAAGGACGGGGCCTATCCCTGAGAAAGAGACAGGAGGTGTTACAGGGATGCAGCTGCTCCGTCTGCACTCCAAAAAGGGATGTTTCGCGAATTTGGGAGGTTTCAGCGAGGTCACAGCCCCCTGCCCTGCCCTCACTCACCCCCCACCCTCCAGACTGCAAAGTTTTTAAGAAAACACCACCTCGAAGAGGTGACAAAAGCTGCCTACCCAAAACCATGGTCATGAACTTCTCCTCCACGCCCACCTCCAGCAGCAGCGGCGGCACGTAGGTGATGCCGGCGGCCAGGCACACCTCCAGCCCGAAGGTCAGCGAGTTCACCAGCAGCAGCTGGGCCCGGCGGCTCCGCAAGGACATGCTGTCCCCAGGCTGAGCCCTCAGTGGCACAGGGCTGTGTCCTGCCAGCTGCAGAGCTCCCAGGGATGCCCCCCAGGCAAGGATTGGAGCTTCCCTTCCCGGGCTTCTGGGGAGATGCCGCTTCCCATTTTATCAACGGTGAAGGAACCGTCTTTTCCTCTTCCTCTTCTTGTGAGATGTGGAGAGCTCAGGCAGGGATCCCACTGCAGGCTTCCCCTCCTCACAGGCTGTGGTCTGTGGAGAGAGAGCGTTAAACAGGGCAGGGAAGGGGGTAAAACCAGGCACCAGAGGGATCTGTCACTGCTGGAAGGGACAGTCCCCGTCCCAATGGGGTAAAACCAGGCACCACAGGGATCTGTCACTGCTGGAAGGGATAGTCCCTGTCCCAACAGCCTGGAGAGGGTCTGGGAGAGGGGAAGGTGGAAGGATGAAAGTTCCAAGAGAGACAGATTTGTCTCCAAAGGTTTGTGAGAGGTGAGGCAGGGTTTGGGAAAACCCAATCCTGCCCTTGAGGATTGATGATCACTCTGTCCTGGCTGGGCAACTCCCACAGACAGCAGAGAGACACAGGATTTGGGGTCTCCTCTGACAGGGAAATCACTCAACCTAACCCTAACCCAGCCCCAACCCCAGCCCTAACCCTAACCCAGCCCCAAACCCAACCCTAACCCAGCCCCAACACAAACCCAAACCCAACCCCAACCCAAACCCTAACCCAGCCCCAACCCCAAACCCAACCCAAACCCCACACCAACCCCAAGCCAAACCCAACCCTAACCCCAACCCAAACCCAACCCCAACCCCACCCCAACCCCAGGACCAGGCAGTGCCTGCAGCCCCACGGGGCCACCCCGGGCCCACCATCCCTGCCTGGTGACCAGGACACCCCCGTGCTGCCCTCAGGGGAGGCGATTCCACCCAAATGCCACCCCCAGCCCTGCCGTGGGGCACGGAGCACAGCCGGTGTCTCCGTGGAGTTTCACAAACAAACCTGACCCACTTTAGCCTCATCCGCCAGCGAATGGCAATCACCTTACTCATTAGACTGAGTCATTTATTTGCCCTGTAACTGCTCCCTGCTCTCCAGCTTCTCCGGAGGAGAGAGGCCATGGGATGGGGAGAGAGCCTGAGCAGTCAGGGCAGGGGGGAATTTGGGAGCCTCTCAGTCCCAAATGACAGAAACCCTCCCAGCTCCCCAGCAAAATTTGCTAAAAACACCTCGGGGAGGTGGCCTGGTGAAATCAGCGCTCCCCGAGCCCTCCATCACCGCACAGGTGTGTGCGGGCAGGTACAGACAGCAGAGTTTTGTCACTTCTCTCTCCCCCCGTGTCACCAACCCACGAGGGGGTGGCTGGGGGAGGCTGGCAGGGTGGGGATGAGCCTCAGCCATCACTCCCTGCCTCCTGTTGCTGTGGAGAAACACCATTCCCGAGCTCAGGAGCTGCCGGGCTGCCAGTACCACTCCATAAATACCGATTCTTCCTCTCTGGGGACCCTGCACCTCCCCTCAGCTGTCACAGGAGATCCTTTCAACAACCGCCTCGCCCAAGGTCAAACAGCAAACAGAGGGGGAACGGTTTGGCTTTAATCACCAGAGGCGGCTTCAAAGGAAGCCAGGGCCGGGCTGAGCATCCCTTCGGTTGGAGGAAGCACCGGGAGCAGCGCCCACCTTGCTCAGATGTGGGTTCCACGCAGGATGTGGCAGCCCGGCCCCGTCACGGGGTGCCCGGCTGCATCCCAGCCCCAGGATGGGGAATTGCAGGCTTAGGATGGGGAATTGCAGGCTTAGGATGGGGAATTTCAGCCCTAGGATGGGGAAATT